CCCCCCCCCCTTTTGCTATTTTTCTCTTAGTAGCTGCTTACTTGACTGACAGAGTGGATCCACTGAGAATTGTTTGGGACTTTGCATAGTCTTGCTCATTCCACACCTTTGAACCACAAGCACCAATAACTTATTTTATTTCTACCAACACTTAATAAATAACCCTGAGAACCTCCTGGTTTTCATTCCACTCCTGTGCCAGGCTGGGCCCCCACAGGGAGCAGGTGGTACTCTCAGATTAGGGTGACTCAGGATGGTTTCATGGAGAACTAGAGCGCCACTTGCCTGGGGGGCAGAGCACGGGGACCTTACCACTTGGCCTGGGGAGACCCTGGGGAGGGCAACCTCCACCCAAAGGACTCCTGTGGAAGAGACACCTAGAGTGGGGCAGAGGCCTCCAGAAGCCCAACCCCACTCTCCTGCAGGGGCTCTCATCCAGGGTTGTCAGATTAAACGCAGGACAACGGATAATGTTTTAGTACTAGTGTGTCCAAAATACCGTGAGATGTGCTTGTATTGAAAAATTATTCATTGTTATCTGAAATTCAGATGGAATTGGGCATGTGTTTTTTATTTGCTAAATCAGATAACCGTACATTGAACTACCCAATTAAAGCCAGAGACCTAGAACTTTTTCTTTCTGCCCCATTTTTTAAAATGTATATCTTTATTGATTTCAGGGAGAGGAAGGGAGAGAGAGGGAGAGAGAAACATCAATGATGAAAGAGAGTCATTGATTGGCTGCCTCCTGCACGCCTCCCCGCCCCCCGCTGGGGATCGAGCCCTCAACCCCAGCAAGTGCCCTGACCAGGAATAGAACTGCATTCCCCTGGATCCTAGGTTGATGCTCAACTGCTGAGCCACGTCCCATTTTTGATCAGTGTTTCTCAGTGGCCAACATTAGCTATGCACCTTCCTGGTCCCCTCCAGCCCTGGCTTCTGGGGCCGAGACCACACACCACCTCATCCCTGCCCTGGGGTTTGAGGGTATCAACAATGTTTGAGACCCTAGTAGGGGTGGGGAACCTTTTTTCTGCCAAGGGCCACTTGGATACTTATAACATCATTCAAGGGCCATACAGAATTATCAATTTAAAAATTAGCTATGAAAAAAGCTCCTAGATTTTTTGAATTTCGAGTCCCGCCTGCAGCTGCTTTGGCAGGGCCAGACCAAATGATTTCACGGGGGTACATGGCCCACGGGCCAGATGTTCCCCACCCTGCTAAAGGAAGGAGGCTGATAGCTATGCCCCCATCAGGCTCTGCTCTAAGAAGGCCTTCTTCTTGCCCCTCCCTGTTCGTTTATCTTTTGTTGCTCCTATCATCTGCTACATCTTACACCCCCACGCCCCCACACAGCACAGCTGAGAAGCCAATGGTTACCAAATGGGCCCTCTCCCCACATTTGGCCTAACGGTTTAGAGGTTCCAAAGCTGGGAGGAATCTTAGAAACCATCTGCACCAACCCCCACATTTCACAGAAACTGAAACTCTAGAAGTTTGACTTCGCTGCAAATTACAACGCTGAGCAACCCAGGCATCCCCCTCCTGGCCCTGTGTTGCTCTCTCTCCCTGTAAGATGTGGCAATAGTGTTGCCACGTAGCCTCTTCCTAGCCTTGCCATACCATGGCCCAAAGATTTGCCCCCCAGTAAAAATAGCTGTGTTGGTTTTGCTCTAATTGTGTAGGTAACACAAGCTCATGTTGGTGGTGGAGGTGGGGTATGACAAGCCCCCTGAGAGGACTGTCAGGAATTTGGTGGCTCCACTCTGGGAAACACATTCCCATGCACTTGCTCTCCCCGCTTCACAGTGATGGGCACAGATGTTGCCCCGGGCCCCATTGGGCTTCCGTTACGCTCCACCTACCTCACCCTGTCCTTGTACAGTGCACCGATTCCCTGCTAGAAAGTTCGCAGTGCCCCTCTGTGCCCTGGAGCTCGCCTTTTTCCGGGTCAGTCCCAGGAGTGAGATTTAAGGGCACGTGGGTTTTAAATCCCTGGGTTGCTTTTCCCACTGACGCTCATGATAAACATTTCTACCAGTGATGAGAGAGGGCTCCGTGGGCCCCCACCCACCAGCAGGTGTTAGCACGCTTTTTCATTTTGTGCCAATCTGATGGGAGTGAACCGAGACCTCACCGTGACTCTAACTCCTGCCTCCTCCACACACGTGCACACACACATGCACAACTGGTGCTTGTGCATTTGTCTGTTGGAAGTTTGTGCTTGTTCTTCTGGAAGTTGCTTGTTTATATCTTTCCTCATTCTTCTCAAAGTGCAGAAGCTCTTTTTATATTGTAAATATTAACCATTCATCTGTCATACAGGTGATAGATACATTTTCTTAATCTATGGTTTGTCTTTTGACTTAACATGTTTGTTTATTTTTTTTTAATTGATTTCAGAGAGAGGAAGGGAGGGGGAGCGAGAGGTAGAAACTTCAATGATGAGAGTGCCATTGATCGGCTGCCTCCTGCAGGCCCCCTACTGGGGATCGAGCCCGCAACCCAGGCGTGTACCCCGACCAGGAATCGAACCATGATCTCCTGCTTCATAGGTTGAAGCTCAAACACTGAGCCATGCCGGCCAGGCTGTCTTTTGACTTTGTGGGTATCCTAAAGCAACATGCTTGAAGATTGATGTAGTCACATATGTCTATATGTTTATCTTATCTTTTTTTGTTAATCCTCACCTGAGGATATTGTCTCCACTGATTTTTTAGAGAAAGTAGAAGGGGGAGGAAGAGAGAGAGAGAGAAACATCACATCGATGTGAGAGAGACATATCAATTGATTGCCTCCTGT